TGTGTTTACAGGAGGGCTGGTATTCTGGACCGTTTGTCTGTATTCACCGTGTGTTTACAGGACGGCTGGTATTCAGGATCGTTTGTCTGTATGTGCCGTGTGTTTACAGGAGGGTTGGTATTCTGGACCGTTTGTGTGTATGTGCCGTGTGTTTACAGGAGGGCTGGTATTCTGGACCGTTTGTCTGTATTCACCGTGTGTTTACAGGACGGCTGGTATTCAGGACCGCTTGTCTGTATTTACCGTGTGGTTACAGGACGGCTGGTATTCTGGACCGTTTGTCTGTATCTAACGTGTATTTACAGGATGACTGGTATTGTAGTCCGTTTGTCTGTATTTACCGTGTGTTTACAGGAGGGTTAGTATTCAGGACCGCTTGTCTGTATGTACTGTGTGTTTACAGGAGGGTTGGTATTTTGGACCGTTTGTCTGTATTTACCGTGTGTTTACAGGAGGGCTGGTATTTTGAACCGTTTGTCTGTATTTACCGTGTGTTTACAGGAGGGTTTGTATTCTGGACCGTTTGTCTGTATGTACCGTGTGTTTACAGGAGGGCTGGTATTTTGGACCGTTTGTCTCTATTTATCGTGTGTTTACGGGAGGGTTGGTATTTTGGACCGTTTGTCTGTATTTACCGTGTGTTTACGGGACGGCTGGTATTCTGAACCGTTTGTCTGTATGTACCGTGTGTTTACAGGAGGGCTGGTATTTTGGACCGTTTGTCTGTATTTATCGTGTGTTTACAGGAGGGTTGGTATTTTGGACCGTTTGTCTGTATTTACCGTGTGTTTACAGGACGGCTGGTATTCTGGACCGTTTGTCTGTATTAACCGTGTGTTTACAGGAGGGCTGGTATTTTGGACCGACTGCCTGTATGTACCGAGTGTTTACAGGTGGGCTGGTATTTTGGACCGTTTGCCTGTATGTACCGTGTGTTTACAGGAGGGCTGGTATTTTGGACCGTTTGCCTGTATGTACCGTGTGTTTACAGGAGGGCTGGTATTTTGGACCGTTTGTCTGTATTTACATTTGTCTGTATTTACCGTGTGTTTACAGGAGGGCTGGTATTCTGGACCGTTTGTCTGTATTTACCGTGTGTTTACAGGAGGGTTTGTATTCTGAACCGTTTGTCTGTATTAACCGTGTGTTTACAGGAGGGCTGGTATTTTGGACCGTTTGCCTGTATGTACCGTGTGTTTACAGCAGGGCTGGTATTTTGGACCGTTTGTCTGAATTTACCGTGTGTTTACCGGAGGGCTGGTATTCTGGACCGGTTGTCTGTATGTACCGTGTGTTTACAGGAGGGCTGGTATTCTGGACCGTTTGTCTGTATTTACCGTGTGTTTACAGGAGGGTTGGTATTCAGGACCGCTTGTCTGTATGTACCGTGTGTTTACAGGAGGGCTGGTATTTAGGACCATTTGTCTGTATTTACCGTGTGTTTACAGGAGGGCTGGTATTCTGGACCGTTTGTCTGTATGTACCGTGTGTTTACAGGAGGGCTGGTATTTAGGACCGTTTGTCTGTATTTACCGTGTGTTTACAGGAGGGCTGGTATTTTGGACCGTTTGTCTGTATTTACCGTGTGTTTACAGGAGGGCTGGTATTCTGGACCGTTTGTCTGTATTACCGTGTGTTTACAGGAGGGCTGGTATTCTGGACCCTGTTTGTCTGTATTTACCGTGTGTTTACAGGAGGGCTGGTATTCTGGACCGTGTGTGTGTGTCTGTACCGTGTGTTTACAGGAGGGTTGGTATTCTGGACCGTTTGCTGTATTTACCGTGTGTTTACAGGAGGGTTGGTATTCTGGACCGTTTGTCTGTATGTACCGTGTGTTTACAGGAGGGCTGGTATTTTGGACCGTCTGTTTGTATGTACCGTGTGTTTACAAGACGGCTGGTATTCTGGACCGTTTGTCTGTATTTACCGTGTGTTTACAGGAGGGCTGGTATTTTGGACCGTTTGTCTGTATTTACCGTGTGTTTACAGGAGGGCTGGTATTCTGGACCGTTTGTCTGTATTTACCGTGTGTTTACAGGAGGGCTGGTATTCTGGACCGTTTGTCTGTATTTACCGTGTGTGTGTATTCAGGACCGTCTGTACCGTGTTTACAGGAGGGCTGTATTTTGGACCGTTTTCTGTATTTTCCGTTTGCCTGTATTTACCGTGTGTTTACAGGAGGGTTGGTATTCTTGTCTGTATGTACCGTGTGTTTACAGGAGGGCTGGTATTTGGACCGTTTGTCTGTATTTACCGTGTGTGTGTTTACAGGAGGGCTGGTATTTTGGACCGTTTGCCTGTATGTACCGTGTGTTTACAGGAGGGCTGGTATTTTGGACCGTTTGTCTGTATTTACCGTGTGTTTACAGGAGGGCTGGTATTCTGTACCGTTTGTCTGTATTTACCGTGTGTTTACAGGAGGGTTGGTATTCTGGACCGTTTGTCTGTATGTACCGTGTGTTTACAGGAGGGCTGGTGGACCGTTTGCCTGTATTTACCGTGTGTTTACAGGAGGGCTGGTATTTTGGACCGTTTGCCTGTATGTACCGTGTGTTTACAGGAGGGCTGGTATTTTGGACCGTTTGTCTGTATTTACCGTGTGTTTACGGGACGGCTGGTATTCTGAACCGTTTGTCTGTATGTACCGTGTGTTTACAGGAGGTATTTTGGACCGTTTGTCTGTTTGGACCGACCGTGTGTGCTGTGTACAGGATTCTGGACCGTTTGTCTGTATTTACCGTGTGTTTACAGGAGGGAACTGGTTTGTCTGGACCGTGTGTTTGTCTGTATTTACCGTGTGTTTACAGGAGGGCTGGTATTTTGGACCGTTTGTCTGTATTTACCGTGTGTTTACAGGAGGGTTGGTATTCTAACCGTTTGTCTGTATTACCGTGTGTTTACAGGAGGGCTGGGTATTGTCTGTATTTACCGTGTGTTACAGTCTGGTATTCAGGACCGGTTGTCTGTGTGTGTTTACAGGAGTCTGTATTTACCGTGTGTACAGGAGGGTTTCAGGACCGCTTGTCTGTATGTACCGTGTGTTTACAGGAGGGCTGGTATTTAGGACCATTTGTCTGTATTTACCGTGTGTTTACAGGAGGGCTGGTATTCTGGACCGTTTGTCTGTATTTACCGTGTGTTTACAGGAGGGTTTGTATTCTGAACCGTTTGTCTGTATGTACCGTTTGTTTACAGGAGGGCTGGTATTTTGGACAGTTTGTCTGTATTGATCGTGTGTTTACGGGAGGGTTGGTATTCTGGACCGTTTGTCTGTATTTACCGTGTGTTTACAGGAGGGCTGGTATTCTGGACCGTTTGTCTGTATTAACCGTGTGTTTACAGGAGGGCTGGTATTTTGGACCGTTTGCCTGTATGTACCGTGTGTTTACAGCAGGGCTGGTATTTTGGACCGTTTGTCTGTATTTACCGTGTGTTTACCGGAGGGCTGGTATTCTGGACCGGTTGTCTATATGCACCGTGTGTTTACAGGACGGCTGGTATTCTGGACCGTTTGTCTGTATTTACCGTGTGTTCACAGGAGGGCTGGTATTTTGGACCGTTTGTCTGTATCTAACGTGTATTTACAGGATGACTGGTATTGTAGTCCGTTTGCCTGTATTTACCGTGTGTTTACAGGAGGGCTGGTATTCTGGACCGTTTGTCTGTATGTACCGTGTGTTTACTGGAGGACTGGTATTCAGAACCGCTTGTCTGTATGTGAATATATAGTCATGTATAATCTGTATGTCTGTAATGTGGGTTATATATACAGTCCTTGAATGTATTGTACTTTCACTCGTATATTTCTATATCTTGAAAATCGCAAAGTGAAAATGTGTACTTGTCGAGGAACCTTACTGATCGAAGGGAGAGCACTGCGAATGAGTTTCTGGAATCCAAGACTGATGATGTGTGAATTGATCACTGACCATGGCCCGGTAATATCAATTAGATATAGAATGAAAAATAATACTGAATGTTGACTACGACCAAACAATATCAATTAAATCTAGAATGAAAAATAGTTATGAATGTTAACTGTTACCACACATTTTCAATGTCAATCCCTCCCATTATAGCCAACAGAACAGAGGCTATAATTATGTCACAGAAAGTAAAAGTACGATCGTGACATTAATGAAAAAATTATATGAAAACGTTCCAGAATTATCCAACACAATTTTAAACATATAGCTGCGAAATAAACAATTATAGATTCTACTGGCAGTATTTCAGTATCACTGAACCATAATTACCAATATTCGATACTTGATATCACCATAATCCTTACTGAGTGTAGGTTTCCTATTTTCGACCCAATCATTTCATTAAATAGACTTTTAGACTATTGGTGTAAGTACGAGAAATAACTGTGTCCCTCTAAGCCTGAATTACTTTTGTTTTCATATGAGGCTGAGCAAGATGTATAGAAGAACCCATCAAAACCGGTAACCTAGACATGTCTTGGTATAGTATATAGACTATATAGTCATCATAACTGGGTCAAAGACACGACAGACTGTTACAGAAGTCGGTTACCTCGAACTTCACCTAAAACGAAACATACAGGTATAACTTTCCATCCATCCGTAACTAATAAGGGTGATGATTCAATTTCGGATTTATGAAATTTCTCGATAAAGCGAATGCTGTGGCTTCCAGAGGACCAGGTTGAAAATGACTAAGGGACATTTCCTGGTCGCAGTCGTGACCTCGTTGGAAAGTATTCAATTACGATGTTTTGTGGATAAAACTTGGTAGTTCCAATCAAGTTGACAGGACATACAATTGCCATTTTTGAATTTATTTTTTAATTTGTTTTTAATTATATTTTTAATTTCATCATTTCATTCGTTTTAATTTTTTGTTATCAAATTAAGCATTTTGGTGAAGAGAGATTTTTTAATCAATGAACGTATCCGGATATATATCACGTGTTCTTTCAGATATTACTCTAATGGTATATTACCCGAGTTACTTCCCTTGAAAGAATATGGAGGTGTTCGAAGTGTGACGAAATGAAGATAACGTAACGTGTCCTGGTGTTGTCATGCATATGCCATTTCGTACAACACTGAACAAACAAGTAAGCCATCTTAAATCAATATGTGTTTTTACTATCACACTGCCAACGTCTGTTGATCAGCATCGCCATCTACATACTTGCAGCACTGCCTACGTGTAGGGAACTGTACATACATTGAAACACTAATGATCTAATGTTAATTTACAAACGCGTCTCTCAAATGAGAGTTTATGCATCTTTTATTATAATGGTCAAGCCTCATGATTTGTAAATATCTTCCTGTATTTTCCCCCAGTATTGTCTATGCATGGTACATGGACACAGTTTTGATTTACAACCCGTAAGCTTGGTAGCCATTGGTTAAACACTTCCAAATGTATGTTTAATAAGATGGAGAGCATTCTTTACGTTTTCACAGCTTTACATTTCAGTATTTGTCGAGACAGGTGACATTTTTAGTATCTAATTTTTTTTTGTAGAAATATCGTGCTACGTTGTTATATAAAGTGTTGAACAGCCTCCAATGCTAAAGGAGCTGAAGTTATTTTGGAATGATTCCCAAGTAAGATGAACTCAGAAATGTGTTTTCCTTAAATATAACTCTTAAACAATCACAAATCCAAATATATATAGATATTGAAAATATGGCACATGATTTGCTCGGTCTAAGGACATTCATCTTACGGTACAATATTTACATTATCCTTAAACGTTTAGTGTGACAGGGGAGGGAACTCTGACAGAAACAAAGATAAACATTAATTCTCATGCTGACTTCCATGCTAAGGTACATGGATTCAATTTTACCGTTAAAAAAGATCAGATATGCAAACTTGGATGTATATAACTATCAACATTTTGATATGATATTGGTGGTATGCCAGCTGTCTGGCCACTTATTAGAATGGGTTTACCTGAGATTTAATGATCTGGGATTGCATTCCGTTTCTATTAATGTATTGGGGTAAATGCATCAACATTAAATATCAGTCCTTATTAGCTTTACTGTTTAAATATGATTCAACTGCTAAATTGAAAGTTGACATGCTTTTATCTGTTGCAGAATGTGTCGATGATTTGGGCTATGAGACGCCTTCAACAAGAGGGCAAGCATTTTGAGAACCTCAATGCAGTCAGACAACTGCAAAGCTAAAAGTGAGGAATCGGAGGAGGAGATGGTACGACACCATGGTACCGAGTCCCGAGGGGCCATGACATTTGTCCCAGTAGGACTGAATGTACAGAAATTCCAGTTATCTCCCTTGTCCTGTACGTGTCGCCGCTTCTATGTGCAGATATGTATGCTCCTGGTTATTGTTGTGTTACTAGTGTTGATACGGACAATCTCCAATGTGCGGGTCATGTTTGAGGAGTATCACACAGCAAGTGACACTGACGGGGAACTGGTAGTTCTGCCTCAACGATTTGCTCAGTCTCGTTCAGCATTCTGTCTGGATGGGTCAGCTCCAGGCTACTATATACGATATGGTAAGTTTTCCAGAATTAATTTTTTTTCTGCTTTTAAATTTGAAAGAAAATGGAAATGTTTTCTGATTAAAGATTGGCTAGTGATGGAAAGAGAAAGAAAAATTGTATCCTTTTGCATACACCAGAGATCATCAATATCAGATTTTTTGCACATGTATGGAATGAAAAATGGAAAGAAATAATAAAGTCAATACAAATATACTACTGATATAAATGGAGAATTTTCTTAGAATAAGCAAATGGCTAAGATGTAAGTAATCATTCTTGTTCTCTGTCTCAGTGATCACATTTCAATGTTGCAGGTCAGTTTCCAGGTAATACAAACTGGATTATATACCTGTCACCAGGAGCCTGGTGTAGCACACCTGCTGAGTGTTATAACAGGTAAATATATAAACACACCTGCTGAGTGTTATAACAGGTAAATATTTAAACACCTGCTTAGTGTTATAACAGGTAAATATATAAACACACCTGCTGAGTGTTATAACAGGTAAATATATAAACACACCTGCTGAGTGTTATAACAGGTAAATATATAAACACACCTGCTGAGTGTTATAACAGGTAAATATATAAACACACCTGCTGAGTGTTATAACAGGTAGATATATAAACACACCTGCTGAGTGTTATAACAGGTAAATATATAAACACATCTGCTGATTGTTATAACAGGTAAATATATAAACACACCTGCTGAGTGTTATAACATGTAAATATATAAACACACCTGCTGAGTGTTATAACAGGTAAATATATAAACACACCTGCTGAGTGTTATAACAGGTAAATATATAAACACACCTGCTGAGTGTTATAACAGGTAGATATATAAACTCACCTGCTGATTGTTATAACAGCTTAATATATAAACACACCTGCTGAGTGTTATAACAGGTAAATAAATAAACACACCTGCTGAGTGTTATAACAGGTAAATATATAAACACACCTGCTGATTGTTATAACAGGTAAATATATAAACACACCTGCTGAGTGTTATAACAGGTAAATAAATAAACACACCTGCTGAGTGTTATAACAGGTAAATATATAAACACACCTGCTGAGTGTTATAACAGCTTAATATTTAAAACAACTGGAAGGCAAATAAAGTCCTAATAAGGAACAGATAAACACAGCTGAAAGAAAGCCACTCACCAATAAAGACTGGTACATGACATAAGTTACTGATGATGATGGTAGATTTCTGATTATTCTCGCTTGTCTCTCCATTGTAGAAGTTTTACTGCTGTTGGATCAAGTGTCATAGCTCCAATCTTCTTTCCCTTTACTGGAATCCTGTCAGCCAGCGAGGAGGAAAACCCAGATTTCTACCGTTGGAACATGGTTAAAGTTCTATACTGTGATGGTGGCTCTTTTCTAGGTAGGTGTAGTGTATGGAGATTCTCAGTGTCAGTGGTACAGAAACATTGATTATCAAGGATATTCTGTATCAGTATATAACTGTTATTGATTATCAAGGATATTTAGATCTCTGCATTCTATATCAGTATATAACTGTTATTGATTATCAAGGATATTTAGATCTCTGCATTCTATATCAGTACATAACTGTTATTGATTATCAAGGATATTTAGATCTCTGCATTCTATATCAGTATATAACTGTTATTGATTATCAAGGATATTTAGATCTCTACATTCTGTATCAGTACATAACTGTTATTGATTATCAAGGATATTTAGATCTCTACATTCTGTATCAGTACATAACTGTTATTGATTATCAAGGATATTTAGATCTCTGCATTCTATATCAGTACATAACTGTTATTGATTATCAAGGATATTTAGATCTCTGCATTCTATATCAGTACATAACTGTTATTGATTATCAAGGATATTTAGATCTCTGCATTCTATATCAGTACATAACTGTTATTGATTATCAAGGATATTTAGATCTCTACATTCTGTATCAGTACATAACTGTTATTGATTATCAAGGATATTTAGATCTCTGCATTCTATATCAGTACATAACTGTTATTGATTATCAAGGATATTTAGATCTCTACATTCTGTATCAGTACATAACTGTTATTGATTATCAAGGATATTTAGATCTCTGCATTCTATATCAGTACATAACTGTTATTGATTATCAAGGATATTTAGATCTCTGCATTCTATATCAGTACATAACTGTTATTGATTATCAAGGATATTTAGATCTCTACATTCTGTATCAGTACATAACTGTTATTGATTATCAAGGGTATTTAGATCTCTACATTCTGTATCAGTACATAACTGTTATTGATTATCAAGGATATTTAGAATTATACATTCTATATCAGTATATAACTGTTATTGATTATCAAGGATATTTAGATCTCTGCATTCTATATCAGTACATAACTGTTATTGATTATCAAGGATATTTAGAATTATACATTCTATATCAGTATATAACTGTTATTGATTATCAAGGATATTTAGATCTCTGCATTCTATATCAGTACATAACTGTTATTGATTATCAAGGATATTTAGAATTATAACTATATGTATATATGTTATTGATTATCAAGGATATTTAGATCTCTGCATTCTATATCAGTACATAACTGTTATTGATTATCAAGGGTATTTAGATCTCTACATTCTGTATCAGTACATAACTGTTATTGATTATCAAAGAAATTTAGATCTCTGCATTCTATATCAGTACATAACTGTTATGGTTACAAAAATACACCTGTTAGGTTAAAACATGACCTTTTGGTAGATATTTTTATCGTGATAATCCTGTTTTATCTGATGACAATTTAACTTATGCGATGTTCAAAACATAAAGATGTTGCCAACTGATTAACATATAAAATTACTGAGGTTGTCTTGTTCTACAGGAAATCGTCCAGAGCCCCTTGTGCACCAGGGCAAGTCATTGTATCTTCGGGGATCACAGGTGTTTACAGCCATTATAGACTACCTACAGATCAATACAAACTTTGGGGCGGCTGAAAAGGTCATCCTGGCTGGATCCTCATGTAAGCCACAGAATGTGATAGTTTTCTATCAGCAATAAAAATGAAGCAGGAAATTAGAATTGTGTGGAAATCATCAGGTTTTCTGTTGAGAAAATCTTTATACCTTAGCATAAAATTATGTTTTATTTAAGACTTGATATTATTTATAGCCTTACAATCCAAATAAGGGACATCAGAAAGTCAACAAAAACAATATTAACAAGATAGAGAACAGGGATAAAGGTGAAACATGACAGTGTTAAATTCTCATGTTATGGTCACTTTTCAAATGCTAATGATTTGCTAATAATTCATTGACTTGATGACCTCCTTTTCATAATAATCTCATGCTATCAATCTTGTTGACTTTGTGATGATTAACAGTGACTGGTTACTCTAGTCCAACACGACAGATCTTGTCAAGTACATTGTACCATTATTATCAAGCAATATGCCCTTGCCTGAAAATCACAAATCTCCCCCCTCCACACCTACCCATTTCTTTTCCCCAGAGATGTATTGCAGATTCACAAGAAATATAAAAAAAATGTTAAAGTATTTTCCTACAGAAAGACATGTTACCTCCCCACTACAAACCAAGGCTATATATTGACCCCAGAATAAGTGTTATATGTGTTGTTTATTTCCCAGCGGGTGGTTTAGCTGCTCTCATCAATGTTGACAACCTGCGTAAGAAATTAGTGTCAGTCAAGTCCATACATGCCTTACTTGATGGCATGTTGTTTGTGGACAGTCAGAACATCTACGGAAAACATACCATGCAGGAAACCTTGAAAAATGTCTACCACCTTCACAAAATCGCAGGTACATCAATGAATATATGTAGAAACATTGAATACAGGGAATAATGATATGGAATGAAAACTTCATCGTCAACTAAAGTCTGACATTTGTATTTTATACACCATATGACAATGGTTTAGAAGATCGATCCCCTGGTATATTAATTGTATGATAAAACCTACACGTATGTCTGTATCAGTCTTTACATTGGAACAGTACCCACTGAATGACCAATTACATTTGTCTTTTTGTGAGAGTTTGTTCTCTGTTAATTAAGTTCAGCATTTTAATGAATATCTATTGTAGATGCCCCAGCTATCCAAGAATGTACTTCAAGTCTGACGTCATCTATTGGTTACCGCTGTTTGGACCCTACTTACTTCTACAACTACTTATTCACACCAGTTTTCCTGATCAGCTCTCTCCACGATTCTTGGTACATCAACCATGCTTTAGCCATCACCTGTCCATTAAGGAAGTGTCCGCCTCAGGATGTTATTGTGATAGATCAGTACAAATCTGCTATAGTGCGAGCTCTCCAGCCAGTGAAACAATCTGTTCATGATGGACTGTTCATTACATCATGCCCTGTACATACTTTACTGCTGACAAAGTGGTTCTCTCATCAGGCTGTTAGTGTTAATAACGTCACTCTTCACCAGGCCCTGTCTCAGTGGTATAACCACCAACACCCAGCTAAGTACATAGAGGATCGTCAGTTTTCAGAGACCCTACACACTTGTAAAACTGTCACGTACTAGTGTACAACAAACACCTGGCCAAATACATGAAGGCTGTCAGTTCTTACAGATCCTACACACCTGTAAAACTGTCACGTACTAGTGTACCACAAACACTAAGCCAAATACATGAAGATTGTCAGTTCTTACAGACCCTACACACCTGTAAAACTGTCATGTACTAGTGTACCACAAACACCTGGCCAAATACATGAAGGTTGTCAGTTCTTACAGACCCTACACACCTGTAAAACTCACGTAATAGTGTACCACAAACACCTGGCCAAATACATGAAGACTGTCAGTTCTTACAGATCCTACACACCTGTAAAACTCATGTAATAGTGTACCACAAACACCTGGCCAAATACATGAAGACTGTCAGTTCTTACAGACCCTACACACCTGTAAAACTGTCACGTACTAGTGTACCACAAACACCTGGCCAAATACATGAAGACTGTCAGTTCTTACAGACCCTACACACCTGTAAAACTGTCACGTACTAGTGTACCACAAACACCTGGCCAAATACATGAAGACTGTCAGTTCTTACAGACCCTACACACCTGTAAAACTGTCATGTACTAGTGTACCACAAACACCTGGCCAAATACATGAAGACTGTCAGTTCTTACAGATCCTGCACACTTGTAACATTCTGTTTGCTTTACCACATCTTTTCTAATGGTATTTTAAACGTACATGCGAGAGACAGAGTGTAAGAATGTATTGCAGCTTGCAGCAAATGTGTTTGGAGGATGTAGGAAGCCACTATTGGATCAGTGTTGAATGAAAGGGATACTGAGATTTGTCTGAAGTTAAAGCCAGATTTAATTTAGTCATGATTTGAGTTTTAATTAATTCATTGTGTGTACAATGATATTTGAACTTTTCCCTCTGATAAACAGATTGGTGTACACTGGCTGATCGAACAAGTTTGTCCTTTTTACATTCTTAGTGTATGTATTTTATAATGGTGTCTGAATTGTTTTTTCAACAGAGTTTGAAGAAGGATGTGATATTTCAGATATTTTTACTGGTTTTCATAGATCAATTTTAGCTCACCTGAAGAATAAGTGAACTAATGCCTTGGTGTGGCACCCAGCTTTAGCTTTTCCCTATAAAAACTTTCTCTTAGCAACTGAAAGGCTCTAGTTACTGATAGTGGGAGTATGTGCTGTATAAAATTTAACATTCAGAAATGTGATTGAATCTTAAAGCATATAAATATCATCCTTTATGAGGAAATGGATTTAAATCAAACCAGATCACAGAATGTGCAATATATGTAGGCTGTATACAATAGTACTTAGTAGTGTATCCTTTATCTAGTAGAGTGGAATATATAGTATTGTCTGTCCATCTGTCCTTCTGTCTACAATAAAATCATTCATATTACAATATATACCGTGACATGTAGTTAATATTCATTTTAACAATTAGTTTTGATTTTAATATTCATTAATTGAGGTTTAGGGTTCAAAGGTTAGACTCCATAAGTTAAGCTTACCTTGAGTACATCATTGTAAGCTCTTGCTGACCTGGTTCTATTGGTTGGACCTTAATTCTATGAAGTTGCTCACATACGCGAAGGTTTTATGGGTATTAAGGTCAAAGATACGGTGACAAACATGTTTCCTTTTTCTCTGTACCATTGTTGTGTCGTGAGGCAACTTCAGTTAAGTGTTTGATCATGTGACTATCTTATATCATTCCCTGAATAGTTTGTTGTCCTGGATTTGCTGATTTTGTGATAATTGACATTCTAGTCCCAAACATTACAGATAAATGCAGCATGGATTTATGAAATCACTTTGTTGTTTAGCAAGTGTTACTTGTTTGATTGTATGTGGTACAATGGATTGAAGGTGTGATTGTCAATGATGTATTGGTCATACAGTAAACCTTAACCTTTTAAAGCTTTTGACCATTTTCACAATACACAGACTTAAAATAAAAGGTTAAATATGACCAGAGTCACATGGTTCAGCAGGATTTATTTATAGATTTATTTATTTACTACTGAACCTTCTGACAGATGTTGTCATATCTACCTTTCACTTTGATTTCTGTTTGGAACTGGACTCTGTATTCCATTAGGAATCCATCTCCGAAAGACTACCACAATTTTTAGAAGATTTTCTGGCGGACATTGCAGCACATTTTCTTTGTATGAAGAAAAAAAATATTTAGCTCAGTTAAGATAAGACGAGAATATCAGCATTCTTCTTTGTCTCCTTGCATCTCTGACTTTTACTTGTTCAGTTACCCTCATAGAAGCTTGATGTAAGTAAGTATTCCATGTATAAACTTACTGATGACCACCCGATGGCTGGAATAGCATCTGTTCCTAGTCTTTTCTCAAGATATCAAATAAACTGGAAGATTGCATATTGTTCATTTAGAATTTCATCAATTATTGTGTTTCCCTGCAGAAAGTGATACCTGTTATTGCTACAAAAACAAAGATAACTATGAGAAAGTTATCAATCTAAACAAACAACACAGTGGCCTATTGTTTTGTTGTTTATAAATATATTTTACATTGATCTTTAATAATTTGTTGTCAACAGTATTGAAATGTTGGTGTCAGATTGAATTTATGTCAGAACTTGAGATGATTTGTGTAGTGCTCCCTTCAGAAATCTGTGAAGTTTTTTGTCGACAGTATTGAAATGTTGGTGTCATATTGAATATATGTCAGAACTTGACTGTTGATTTGTGTAGTGCTCCCTTCAGAAATCTGTGAAGTTTTTTGTCGACAGTATTGAAATGTTGGTGTCATATTGAATATATGTTAGAACTTGAGTTGATTTGTGTAGTGCTCCCTTCAGAAATCTGTTATTTGTCAACATTGAAATGTTAGTGTCAGATTGAACTTTTAGTGCTCCCTAAATTACGGACTCTGTGAAGATGATAAAAGTCATTTCAAAGTTGATAAAATATTGCTCTGTTTTTCCTTTTTTGTGAAGTTTTTACATATGCAAAGTATTAGCTCATTAATATGCAAATGAGTGTTTTGATATGATTTGTTAAAGTATGTGCTGAAATTTCTGGTATACATGTATCAACAATGAAGCAGTATTGTTATCAGTGATCAGGATAAAACAAAGTGGTGTGGAACAAATAGTCTTAGTACCGTTTTCACTTTCTAGGTTTACATAAGCTTCACATATTTCTGGTGTGTATGTACTGCAATACAATCGTAAAGGCAATACATAGATTTATAATATAAGTTTATTTGTGCTTCTTTATATTACTCATGTAATGACATTTTCCATCAAATATTTTATGGCTTTGTAATATTTGTTAGTTTGTTAGTTGTGCATATTTTTGTTTTTTCTGTTTGTTTTTTTCCCCTAATTTTGTGTAGACACATATGTATACATTTTGAAGATCAAAGTTTCAAGATCAAAGTCAATGAATGTACATTAAAGGACAATGTTATTATGTGTGTACCACTAAAACACTTTAAACATTCCTGTTTAGATCAACTTACTGAAAGTCCTCTTTATTTTTGCATGGTAATTTACTTGATGTGAACAAATTGTACTGAACTATATACAATATAATGTTAATTGTTTTTAATCAACTTTAGTTTACAACAGTTAACTTACATGTATTTCTTTGGATCACAAAATTTGTAAAAATATTGTTGTAAGTTGCATGTGGAATATTAGTTGGGCATCACTTACAGTAACAGGCATTTATGTATGCCTGGTTAATTGCCCAGTCAACAGCCAGTGGACATTTTGAGGTGCAGTTACTTTGGCCTAGTACTGTAAAGTTATATATTTTCATGGAAATCAGTTTTCTTTGTTTTTCAAAAATTTCCAATTTCATTGTCACTTGATTCGGTGGATGAATATAGCTCATTGATTAATGAACATAAAAATTAGTTGATTAAGAGTACCCTTGATATCAATAAAAATAAGTCCCCACAAGAATTAACAATTTTACAGTAATAGCCTGCAATCTGTTATTCTGAGCAACTGAGGTAAAATGTCTCACCAGAAGACACTACAGTACAGTAGGTTCCAACTTGTCAGGCCTCTGAGATACACAATCACCGTCAGTAGCAATGTCTTATACGATGATGACGTGAAGTGAAAGCCTGAAATAAGTGACCAATATCTGACAACATCTATCTCATGGTTCACAACGACCTGAAAGTATGTGTGGCACATTTTGCTATCTTGGTAAAGTGTATGTGCGAACTTAATGCATGTTTTATTAATACTCTTGTCCTTCATGAAGAATCTTTAACAGAGATTATGTGCCAAACAATTTATGTATTTCTGTTAATGTTTTGAAATGTAAGAAATCCAGAGTTATCCTTTTTGATATCACAGGAAGACATACAGGGAATATGTCTTCCTCGTATTCATCATCAGTCACACAGTACTTCGTGGGTTTGTTTTTTATTAGTAAGTAGTGCTTGTGGAGGACATAATAAGTACTATGTTCACATGGATTTCTCTCAAAATGTGTTGCCTTAACTCTGTAATGTATCGTCTATTGGAATTAAATTTTGTTTTTAAAGAAATGGCCTAATGTTTTGTTTAATGTTGGAAACAAAGAGTAACATATGTTTCAAATAACAGGAGCATGACAGGAATAACTAACATTAGGATCTGTAGGTACTTTCTTACTTAGCTACCTGTAAGTGATGGGACATTAGGATCTGTATGTACTTTGTTACTTAGCTACCTGTAAGTGATGGGACATTAGGATCTGTAGGTACTTTGTTACTCAGCTACCTGTAAGTGATGGGACATTAGGATCTGTATGTACTTTGTTACTTAGCTACCTGTAAGTGATGGGACATTAGGATCTGTATGTACTTTGTTACTTAGCTACCTGTAAGTGATGGGACATTAGGATCTGTATGTACTGTATGTACTTTGTTACTTAGCTAACTGTAAGTGATGGGACATTAGGATCTGTAGGTACTTTGTTACTCAGCTACCTGTAAGTGATGGGACATTAGGATCTGTATGTACTTTGTTACTTAGCTACCTGTAAGTGATGGGACATTAGGATCTGTAGGTACTTTGTTACTTAGCTACCTGTAAGTGATGGGACATTAGGATCTGTATGTAGGTACTTTGTTACTCAGCTACCTGTAAGTGATGGGACATTAGGATCTGTATGTACTTTGTTACTTAGCTACCTGTAAGTGATGGGACATTAGGATCTGTAGGTACTTTGTTACTTAGCTACCTGTAAGTGATGGGACATTAGGATCTGTATGTAGGTACTTTGTTACTTAGCTACCTGTAAGTGATGTGAAATTAGGATCTGTAGGTACTTTGTTACTTAGCTACCTGTAAGTAATGGGACATTAGGATCTGTATGTACTTTGTTACTTAGCTACCTGTAAGTGATGGGACATTAGGATCTGTATGTAGGTACTTTGTTACTTAGCTACCTGTAAGTAATGTGAAATTAGGTTCTGTAGGTACTTTGTTACTTAGCTACCTGTAAGTAATGGGACATTAGGATTTGTATGTACTTTGTTACTTAGCTACCTGTAAGTGATTGGACATTAGGATCTGTAAGTAGGTACTTTGTTACTTAGCTACCTGTAAGTAATGGGACATTAGGATTTGTATGTACTTTGTTACTTAGCTACCTGTAAGTGATGGGACATTAGGATCTGTATGTAGGTACTTTGTTACTTAGCTACCTGTAAGTGATGGGACATTAGGATCTGTAGGTACTTTGTTACTTAGCTACCTGTAAGTAATGGGACATTAGGATTTGTATGTACTTTGTTACTTAGCTACCTGTAAGTGATGGGACATTAGGATCTGTATGTAGGTACCATGTTACTTAGCTACCTGTAAGTGATGGGACATTAGGATCTGTATGTAGGTACCATGTTACTTAGCTACCTGTAAGTGATGGGACATTAGGATCTGTATGTACTTTGTTACTTAGCTACCTGTAAGTGACAAGACATTAGGATCTGAATGTAGGTTCTTATGCAGGAGAACTGGTGTGATCAGGTTTGTTAACACTGGAGAACTTCAGATGTGATCTCCTTCAGCATTTGTTAGTATTTGTCCAAATTCTGCCTTCCACATGTTGAGGTTCATCAGATTTTATTATAGTCACCATCTGATGTATTGAACTTTTATATTGGAAGGTTGTTGTTCCTGTTTTTGAAGAAGTGATTCGCCATCAAGTTTGACATAATTTTCGCTTGAAAGGAGATTTCAAACACTGATTTTCCATGACTTAGATTCCACAAGTAGCGTAATTGTAACTGCAGTATATTCCTATTCCTATAGTTTTGAATTGAATTTGCTGTTAATCTCCGAGATTTTAATGAATTTTAAAATACATCACACTACTACCACTGTGCCAAGTCATCAAACCAGCAAAATATGGCATGGAGATAGGAAATCAAGACTTTCTGTAGTAGCATTTTTTTTACATTTGCTTGGTCTTTATTAGCATTGTATCTCTGGTGCTCTGTGATATTTGATTAGTTCCATTGCTGTATGTGTGTGTTAAATGAATATTACTACTGTATTAGACAAACACTAATGTTGTTAACACTTTTATTTGTTATACAAGAGGAGTATATGTAAATGATTCCATTGATTTTCATAGAGTTTATTCAAATATCCATGTTTTTATTTTCTATCTTTTTTTTATTAATATCTTTAATTTCGGTTTTTTGGGAATTTTTTTCAATACGTCTGCATGCATGTCAGTACCAATTGTGGTGACTTTTGAAGGAACACAAAATTCAGCATTATTGCATAACTCTTGAAACATACTTAATCATATGTTTGCAAACAGTTCAAAAGAGTCCATTACATATGTCGGTGTGACCTCTGGGCTATCTATTTTGTCTAGGGCTCCAGACCCTGTGAGCACCAGGACAGAGTCAACACCAATGTTGTTTGCGAAAGCAATGTCAGATCGGAGGCCATCACCAATGAACACTGTTCGTTTGAGGTCGATACTGGGATGCTTATGTCTGATACAATCAAGTAAAAGTGTGCCTGGCTTACCGATCACTAATGGTTCACGTTTTGCTGGTACAGATATTGCCTGTATCAAGGCACCTGTGGTGGGCTGCATGCGTCCCTCTCCTATCTTAACATTTGTTTCCACTATATTGGTGGCTACAAAGAGACAATTTGGATTACAAAGATAGCTCACAGCTTTATAGATCTTATTGTAGTGAAAGTGTTCATCAAAACCAACTAATACTGCTTCTACATTGTCTCTAAATTCCATCTGAAGTAATTGCTTTGGGTCCCAGGATGCCTGGTCTGGATCTGGTCCAACTCCGAAATTCACAAGATGGTGTTTGTCTAGTTCTTGTTTCATACCCTGCCCGCCAACAAGGTATACCTTTCCATCAATATTAGCAATGTCTCGCAAATACACTGCAGCTGCATTTGCCACACCAAAAATATCGGATTCATGTGCTTCAAATCCAACTTCTCTGAATTTATTGACATATCTTTCGTTTGAATGCATACTGTTATTTGTCACATATAACAGATGCTTGCCGATATTCCGTAATTTAGATATTGCCTCCGGCACATTTGGTATACTGCTCACATGATCCGTACCATACAGTGTCCCGTCACAATCCAACATGAAAGTATCGTATGTCTGAAGGAACTTTTCTACATTGTTGAGAGTCAGAGGGCGGATAATTGACGTGTCCGTTCCATGTGGGCGAATTTGGAACGGATTTTGACGTGCATCATTCTTATTTGCATGAAGTCCAGTCCATATCTTGCACTGTGCCGTAAAATCCCAGCACATCCTTAATAGGGGTGACCTCGGGGTCATCCGGAGCTTCATATCCAAGACGAACTGGACTCACCACTGTTAGTTTATCACAATGTTACCAATCCAAAACAGAGAGTGCTGCAAAGAAACTGATGTGGCGGATGATGCATTTACTTCGATGATATTTAGTAAATAAACTTGTGTTTAACTAAATTCCAGAATAGTGGACCATTACATGAAAACGAAAATGCTGTAAAAGTGTTACATTAAAATGTAAATTATCTATGTCTGTACATTAACAACAAAATAATCATTTCACATTACTTGATAACTTTACATGTGAATTTATTTTTGTATCTTCAACAATTGATAAAATGCCGTTGCCTGTATTCTCTCCGGTTAAATCCAACGAAACAGATTCGTAAAATATATTGTTTTTCATCGATCGTCATCATTTATATACTTGAAAAATACAACGTTGTAAATTTAGGAATCAAGCGTTGTTGTGACCACTTTCAGTTTAAAAAGATGAGGCGGCCAAATTGAATATATTCAGTTTGTTTTGATTGAAGAGCAAATGATTCATGGATATTTTCAGGTATTGTTTTGAAAAAAATCCAAACAAATCAGCACACAGCATATATAATTTACGTTATTGTAAAAGATAATAAACTGTATATTCCTTATTCTTAACATTAATTTACTTATTGATTGGACAGGTGCTTTTCGTGATAACGATGTAATAATCATTTCATAAGAAATGTATTGATGATGATATTCAAATGGAATATTCACCATAGACATTCGTTAAAGAATGAATGTGTTGCGATTGTATAGCCTACTTGAAATACAAAATGGCAGCAGATATGCCAATATTACTATACGCGTGACTGTGATGTGCAATATCTAATAGTATGAAAAACGAAGATATAAAAATTAAAAATAAATTAAGCTGATATGGTGATATTCTGACCAATGCTCGAACACAAAACACAGTTTATTGTTTTTTTAATCTGAATACTTGTCAATAATATAAATTATGTTTGTGTATAAAGTTAAAAGAGATGTGTCAAGAACATTTTAGCTGTATTAAAATCATATACAGTTGTTGTTAAGTTTTCAACAGTTGGTAAAACCACACTATGGTGATAACGGATATTGATGGAATTTAATTTGAACCTATGTTCAAACACCCTATTAGAATATCAAATATATACAATATTGTTGTGGTGCCGTTCTATATAACAATATTCCAACCTCAAGACACAAAAACAAAAAAGACTATTTTCTAGATGAATAATGTTGTAAAAATACACAAGATAAATGAAGCAATTTTACATTAATCAGTGAGCAAAATCACAGATCAGCATGCATTTCTATGAGGGGAAATGTTGACTACTATTTTGGATTGTACTATAGTTTGTAAAATATGTCAAATCCACTTTTCTGTTAAATAGGACATTTCAGTATGATTATTTAAGAACGAGCAAAAAAAGGAAGTAGGTATGTATTCTTTTTGGGAACCAATGTTTATTTTGACAGTTTTGGTATACAATACTTTTGGCTGCAGTTGTCTGCTGGATTCAGATTACCATGGTAGCTGGGGAGCTTTTCTTTACAGAGGTAGAGATATGTCTATACATCCTATAATCATCATGCATCATGAGTGGACAAATAGGTTACTTTGTGGAATGAGAAGTGAAAGCATAACAAGTGTTTGAGCAATGGTCCCGTTGGGTTAGTATAGCATGTTCTATAAATGTATTACCAAATTTTTAGAACACCCTTCACTGTTCTTCATTTGATATATAATCTGGTGCCATACTGTACATAACTGTTAACATTCCTTTTCTCAATCAATTTCAATGAATGAAGAAATTGATTATTTGTATAATTAGAGACCTTTACACAAGCAAAAATTGCCTGTCATGCTGAATATGCTGGCAAAAAACATCATTGAAAGGATTCACTCTCTTATTCTAAAGCTGACCATCATCACAGACTTTCAAATTCTGGCTAGGTGCTTCTGCTTCATCAGCATTTTGGAGCTAGTAGTTATGGTCATTTTTTATTTTATGACCAGCAGACATGCTAGAATTGAATGGTTTATGAATCCCTTTCAGCTGATAATATAGATAAACCCTCATTTCAAGCATACCTCTCAACTGAGAATATAGATATACCCTCATCTCAAACATCCCTCTCAGTTGATAATATATTTATACCCTCATCTCAAACATCCCTCTCAGCTGATAATATATTTATACCCGCATCTCAAACATCCCTCTCAGCTGATAATATAGATAAACCCTCATCTCAAGCATCCCTCTCCACTGATTATATAGATATACCCTCATCTCAAGCATCCCTCTCAGCTTAGAATATAGATATACCCTCATCTCAAGCATCCTTCTCTACTGATTATATAGATATACCTTCATCTCAAACATCCCTTTCAAATGAGAATATAGATACACCCTCATCTCAAGCATCCCTCTCAAGTGATAATATAGATATACCCTCATGTCAAGCATTGCCCTCAGCTGAGAATATAGATATACCCTCATCTCCAACATCCCTCTCAGCTGAGAATATAGATATACCCTCATCTCCAACATCCCTCTCAGCTGAGAATATAGATATTTACTCTACTCTTATGCATCCTGTCAACTGAGAATATATAGGTATACCTGTTTCCTCATCTTGGATACCTTTAGATAAAGTAAAGCATTTCCTTATCTCTGTTCCCTGGTATATATCTTTTCCTATTTTCTAAATTTTGATATTGTTTAGGAATAAGAAGAGAACAGTTTTCTCCGTAGCAGATGAACACTCACAATCTCCGAAGAATCATAAAAAGAAAAAAGATGCTTCATCTGGTATTGTCCCAGCAAAAACAAAGAAGGAATTACATTATCAATACAGTGATGAGGAGTGTGTGTGTAGTTCAGACTCCCAGCCAAGCAGTGAGGTGGAAACAGGTACAGAATCAGTTATGTGTAATTATACAGCTCTCCAGCTGATACATAATTAAATAGCAGTTTCAATATATACTTCTGTTGTGATTGATATGATGATAGGTTTTGCCCATCAATACTGGCTGCTACATATTTATAATGTTTACTTTATATGAACTTTGTCATCATCTAATACCTGGTATGTAAAAGAGAGCACAAGATTTTTAGAAACAAATTTTAAAGTAATTTATTAATTTTCAAATAAACCTTTTGTTTAAAGTTCACCAGTGATCATTTTTATACTGTAAAATAGCAAAATGATGTCACATTCCTATTTATTTTCCATTAGTGTAACACTGGCCTTGTTTAAGTTCACTGGTGTAACACTGGCCTAGTTTATGTTACTGGTGTAACACCTGCCTAGTTTATGTTACTGGTGTAACACTGACCTAGTTTATGTTACTGGTGTAACACTGACCTAGTTTATGTTACCGGTGTAACACTGACCTAGATTATGTTACTGGTGTAACACTTGCCTAGTTTATGTTCACTGGTGTAACACTGACCTAGTTTATGTTACTGTGGTCACACTGGCCTAGTTTATGTGGCTGGTGTAACACTGGCCTAGTTTATGTGGCTGGTGTAACACTGACCTTGTTTATGTGTCTGGTGTAACACTGGCCTAGTTTATGTTACTGATGTAACACTGGCCTAGTTTATGTTCACTGATGTAACACTGGCCTAGTTTATGTGGCTGGTGTAACACTGACCTAGTTTATGTGACTGGTGTAACACTGGCCTAGTTTATGTGGCTGGTGTAACACTGGCCTAGTTTATGTGACTGGTGTAACACTGGTCTAGTTTATGTTACTGGTGTAACACTGGCCTAGTTTATGTTACTGGTGTAACACTGACCTAGTTTATGTGACTGGTGTAACACTGGCCTAGTTTATGTGGCTGGTGTAACACTGGCTTAGTTTATGTGACTGGTGTAACACTGACCTTGTTTACCTTGTTTACCTCTTTTGTACATAGATTCCTCTGGGGATGACATGAATCCGGCCACTCACACACAACAGACACTGGCCCGCCGACTCACCCGTAGAGAGAAGCAACGTGAAGAGCTCATCAGGAAAAAGAAGGAACAAAGTATGACTGTAAAACAACTTTTGTAAATGAGGAACAATACTTTTACAACTGCTATAGCAGCTTTATACTAAAGGAAGGGGAATCTGGATGTTTAGAGAGGACACTCTCCACTGTACCACCTGACCACCTAAAAGCTGTTCCACTTGAGTGACAAAAATCTTACATTTATTTTTCTTCTTCTAGGGAAAATAAAAGTCACAGCGAAAAATATCTAGTGAACCCCTGGGGAGCTAAAATATCTAGTGAGCCTCTGGGGATTTAGAATATCTAGTGAGCCTCTGGGGAGCTAAAATATCTAGTGAGCCCCTGGGGAGCTAAAATATCTAGTGAGCCTCTGGGGAGCTAAAATCTATAATGAGCCCCTGGGGAGCTAAAATATCAAGTGAACCTCTGGGGATTTAGAATATCTATTGAGCCTCTGGGGAGCTAAAATATCTAGTGAGCCTCTGGGGAGCTAAAATATCTAGTGAGCCTCTTGGGAGCTAAAATCTATAATGAGCCCCTGGGGAGCTAAAATCTATAATGAGCCCCTGGGGAGCTAAAATCTATAATGAGCCTCTGGGGAGTTAGAATATCTAGTGAGCCTCTGGGGAGCTAAAATCTATAATGAGCCCCTGGGGAGCTAAAATATCAAGTGAGCCTCTCGGGATTTAGAATATCTATTGAGCCTCTGGGGAGCTAAAATATCTAGTGAGCCTCTGGGGAGCTAAAATATCTAGTGAGCCTCTGGGGAGCTAAAATATCTAGTGAGCCCCTGGGGAGCTAAAATATCTAGTGAGCCTCTGGGGAGCTAAAATCTATAATGAGCCTCTGGGGATCTAAAATATCTAGTGATCCTCTGGGGAGCTAAAATATCCAGTGAGCCCCTGGGGAGCTTAAGTGAACAATTCTTTGACTGATTTACTAGATATTCTATGAAACACAAATGATATATAACGATGCAAAATATAACATGTTTTCATGTTACCACATTCCACTGCGACAGTGGCCAGGTGGTGCAGTTTCACTTTGACAACCAAGGTTTAGTCCAACATGAAAAGTCATGGTATCACATTCTGGAGCACCTGAGTTTTATTTTCTCAGGTTCAACAGTACATTTCCTCCCACACTGTTACCCTTGGGGCAAATCCATCATAAAAGTGATTTGTATGAGATGGTGTAACATGTTAGTGAAAAATAAAAGTTTCTAAAATAAAGATATTTTGATATGACTTTTTGGTTGATTAATCTTATTTAATTTGTTTAAGACTTTTTGCCCAATGTCAAATGTTAAAGGAAAGGTGCGTGTTTACATACATGTACAATGATGGTAAAATCATGCAGCAGATTGTTATCATACTTGTCATCTGTGGTTTGAAATTCTGTTCTTACTATATGAGCCGCAGTTTATCATTACTACACAGAGAGACATTTAGTGCAAATTTTTGTGCTGAATTTTAAAAAATCACTTTAATATCTTTTTATTTTACAGACAAGATATCCATGGATGATTTTCTGAACAAACAAGTAGAGTTTCACACATGGATAGAGGAGGAGGTAAGGACAGGCAGATAAGTTATAGTTATAGTGAATATCACCTGATCAAACACGTAGAGTTTCACACATGGATAGAGGAGGTAAGGACAGGCAGATAAGTTATAGTTATAGTGAATATCACCTGATCAAACAAGTAGAGTTTCACACATGGATAGAGGAGGAGGTAAGGACAGGCAGATAAGTTATAGTTATAGTGAATATCACCTGATCAAACAAGTAGAGTTTCACACATGGATAGAGGAGGAGGTAAGGACAGGCAGATAAGTTATAGTTATAGTGAATATCACCTGATCAAACAAGTAGAGTTTCACACATGGATAGAGGAGGAGGTAAGGACAGGCAGATAAGTTATAGTTATAGTGAATATCACCTGATCAAACAAGTAGAGTTTCACACATGGATAGAGGAGGTAAGGACAGGCAGATAAGTTATAGTTATAGTGAATATCACCTGATCAAACAAGTAGAGTTTCACACATGGATAGAGGAGGAGGTAAGGACAGGCAGATAAGTTATAGTTATAGTGAATATCACCTGATCAAACAAGTAGAGTTTCACACATGGATAGAGGAGGAGGTAAGGACAGGCAGATAAGTTATAGTTATAGTGAATATCACCTGATCAAACAAGTAGAGTTTCACACATGGATAGAGGAGGAGGTAAGGACAGGCAGATAAGTTATAGTTATAGTGAATATCACCTGATCAAACAAGTAGAGTTTCACACATGGATAGAGGAGGAGGTAAGGACAGGCAGATAAGTTATAGTTATAGTGAATATCACCTGATCAAACAAGTAGAGTTTCACACATGGATAGAGGAGGAGGTAAGGACAGGCAGATAAGTTATAGTTATAGTGAATATCACCTGATCAAACAAGTAGAGTTTCACACATGGATAGAGGAGGAGGTAAGGACAGGCAGATAAGTTATAGTTATAGTGAATATCACCTGATCAAACAAGTAGAGTTTCACACATGGATAGAGGAGGAGGTAAGGACAGGCAGATAAGTTATAGTTATAGTGAATATCACCTGATCAAACAAGTAGAGTTTCACACATGGATAGAGGAGGAGGTAAGGACAGGCAGATAAGTTATAGTTATAGTGAATATCACCTGATCAAACAAGTAGAGTTTCACACATGGATAGAGGAGGAGGTAAGGACAGGCAGATAAGTTATAGTTATAGTGAATATCACCTGTAGAGTTTCACACATGGATAGAGGAGGAGGTAAGGACAGGCAGAGTTATAGTTATAGTGAATATCACCTGATCAAACAAGTAGAGTTTCACACATGGATAGAGGAGGAGGTAAGGACAGGCAGATAAGTTATAGTTATAGTGAATATCACCTGATCAAACAAGTAGAGTTTCACACGTGGATAGAGGAGGAGGTAAGGACAGGCAGATAAGTTATAGTTATAGTGAATATCACCTGATCAAACAAGTAGAGTTTCACACATGGATAGAGGAGGAGGTAAGGACAGGCAGATAAGTTATAGTTATAGTGAATATCACCTGATCAAACAAGTAGAGTTTCACACATGGATAGAGGAGGAGGTAAGGACAGGCAGATAAGTTATAGTTATAGTGAATATCACCTGATCAAACAAGTAGAGTTTCACACATGGATAGAGGAGGAGGTAAGGACAGGCAGATAAGTTATAGTTATAGTGAATATCACCTGATCAAACAAGTAGAGTTTCACACATGGATAGAGGAGGAGGTAAGGACAGGCAGATAAGTTATAGTTATAGTGAATATCACCTGATCAAACAAGTAGAGTTTCACACATGGATAGAGGAGGAGGTAAGGACAGGCAGATAACTTATAGTTATAGTGAATATCACCTGATCAAACAAGTAGAGTTTCACACATGGATAGAGGAGGAGGTAAGGACAGGCAGATAAGTTATAGTGAATATCACCTGATCAAACAAGTAGAGTTTCACACATGGATAGAGGAGGAGGTAAGGACAGGCAGATAAGTTATAGTTATAGTGAATATCACCTGATCAAACAAGTAGAATGACAGCTATACAATGGATACTAGAACTTCTGTTAAAACGTGGAAAACCTTTGCAGGACATATCTACATAAAGGGTGAAAAAGAAAACAATTCTACACAAACTCAATACTCAGTAAAGGGTGAAAAAGAGAATAATTCTACACAAACTCAATACTCAGTAAAGGTTGAAAGAGAGAATAATTCTATGCAAACTCAATACTCAGTAAAGGGTGAAAGAGGGAATAATTCTACACAAACTCAATACTCAGTAAAGGTTGAAAGAGGGAATAATTCTACACAAACTTAATACTCAGTAAAGGGTGAAAGAGAGAATAATTCTATGCAAACTCAATACTCAGTAAAGGGTGAAAAAGAGAATAATTCTACACAAACTCAATACTCAGTAAAGGGTGAAAAAGAGAATAATTCTACACAAACTCAATACTCAGTAAAGGTTGAAAGAGGGAATAATTCTACACAAACTTAATACTCAGTAAAGGTTGAAAGAGAGAATAATTCTATGCAAACTCAATACTCAGTAAAGGGTGAAAGAGGGAATAATTCTACACAAACTCAATACTCAGTAAAGGGTGAAAAAGAGAATAATTCTACACAAACTCAATACTCAGTAAAGGGTGAAAGAGAGAATAATTCTATGCAAACTCAATACTCAGTAAAGGGTGAAAAAGAGAATAATTCTACACAAACTCAATACTCAGTAAAGGTTGAAAGAGAGAATAATTCTATGCAAACTCAATACTCAGTAAAGGGTGAAAGAGGGAATAATTCTACACAAACTCAATACTCAGTAAAGGTTGAAAGAGGAGAATAATTCTACACAAACTTAATACTCAGTAAAGGGTGAAAGAGAGAATAATTCTATGCAAACTCAATACTCAGTAAAGGGTGAAAGAGGGAATAATTCTACACAAACTCAATACTCAGTAAAGGGTGAAAAAGAGAATAATTCTACACAAACTCAATACTCAGTAAAGGTTGAAAGAGGGAATAATTCTACACAAACTTAATACTCAGTAAAGGTTGAAAGAGAGAATAATTCTATGCAAACTCAATACTCAGTAAAGGGTGAAAGAGGGAATAATTCTACACAAACTCAATACTCAGTAAAGGTTGAAAGAGGGAATAATTCTACACAAACTTAATACTCAGTAAAGGTTGAAAGAGAGAATAATTCTATGCAAACTCAATACTCAGTAAAGGGTGAAAAAGAGAATAAATCTACACCAACTCAATACTCAGTAAAGGTTGAAAGAGAGAATAATTCTATGCAAACTCAATACTCAGTAAAGGGTGAAAGAGGGAATAATTCTACACAAACTTAATACTCAGTAAAGGGTGAAAAAGAGAATAATTCTACACAAACTTAATACTCAGTAAAGGTTGAAAGAGGGAATAATTCTACACAAACTTAATACTCAGTAAAGGGTGAAAAAGAGAATAATTCTACACAAACTTAATACTCAGTAAAGGGTGAAAAAGAGAATAATTCTACACAAACTTAATACTCAGTAAAGGTTGAAAGAGGGAATAATTCTACACAAACTTAATACTCAGTAAAGGGTGAAAAAGAGAATAATTCTACACAAACTTAATACTCAGTAAAGGTTGAAAGAGGGAATAATTCTACACAAACTTAATACTCAGTAAAGGGTGAAAAAGAGAATAATTCTACACAAACTTAATACTCAGTAAAGGGTGAAAAAGAGAATAATTCTACACAAACTCAATACTCAGTAAAGGGTGAAAAAGAGAATAATTCTACACAAACTCAATACTCAGTAAAGGGTGAAAAAGAGAATAAATCTACACCAACTTAATACTCAGTAAAGGTTGAAAGAGAGAATAATTCTATGCAAACTCAATACTCAGTAAAGGTTGAAAGAGAGAATAATTCTATGCAAACTCAATACTCAGTAAAGGGTGAAAAAGAGAATAATTCTACACAAACTCAATACTCAGTAAAGGTTGAAAGAGAGAATAATTCTATGCAAACTCAATACTCAGTAAAGGTTGAAAGAGAGAATAATTCTATGCAAACTCAATACAATCTTCTGACATTTTAGGGTATTTAAACATTTAAGTTTCAACAGACACAGCTATGTAATACAGTCTAAAAAACCCAACATATCCCCAGTTTAATACTGATGTTATTGATTTTTATGACTATAAGTCATAATTTAGGTAAGAAACTTAACATAGATTAAATATTGAGATCATTGTGTCTGTGTTCATCATTCCTCGATTCATCATTCCTCATGTGTATTCATCATTCCTCGTGTGTGTTCATCAGGGTTTTCCATAAGAGTCGGTCGCCGGCCAATTTAACCAGCTACTTTGATCATTTGGCTGCCTACACCAATCCATTTCCGTAATAATGTTCCGTACACGACTACACGTACAAGGCAGGCTACCCCCACCTCGCCGTGTTGCGGCTGGGGTGAGCTTGCTTCGCCAGCCTCCTACTTTCACTACACAGCCTACTACTAACAAAATTATGGAAAACCCTGGTTCATCATTCCTTGTGTGTTTATCATTCCTTGTATATGTTCATCATATTGCCTTGAGTGTGTTTATCGTTCCTTGTTAGTACCTTAATATCCTTCACACGGTGTCTGCATCCATAGATAATTTAACACTTTCAACTTCTTCTCAAAAATCCCTGATCTGATTTCAGTGAAACCTCCCCAGGTTTAAGATGAACCAAAATTGTGAATTATAAAGTCTTCACCCTCCAGGGGCCTGGAAGCAGGGCCAAAAGGGGTCAAAATTGACTTGGATTTCAAAAATCTTCTTCTCAAAACCTAGATATGGTACAATCAAATACTCTTCATTAATGGAAGCATTTTAAGGTGCTTTACCAAAATTGTGAATTTCATGGCCCCAGGGTTTAACATTTCCCTGTGGGGAGGGGGTAAAATTAACTAGTTTTTATAGAAAACTAGATTTTTGAGCATAATTTCTTTAATTTCCATTGGAAATATTTCACACTTTGATAGAATTATAAGTGGAGGGTGACAGCTTGATGGTATGCCGATTTTGGTCCTGACTGACCCCCAGGGACTGAAGGGCGGGGTCAAAAGGAGTAAAATTGACTGAAATTTCAAAAATCTTCTCAAGACCCAGATGTGGTATAATCAAATGCTCTTCATGAATGGAAGCATCTTAAGGTGCTTCAATTACCAAAATGAATCTTACATTTCTTCCAGGGGTGGAATAAGGTTTTTAGAATTTACTGTAATTTTCATTGAAAATAGCATTTTTGAGCATAACCTTGGTTATATCCTACTGGAAATAATTTTATAAGAATCATCAGTATAGGATGACAGTTTTGATGGTATGCATGTATTGATACTGGCACTAACACTTGATTAATATCCTTTGACCTTTATATTTAATATTACTTATCTCAGGTGACCGTCAAGACCTTTAGACCTCTTGTTTGTGTGTTAATCGTTCCTTGTGTTAGGTTTTAAGTAGCGGTGATAGGATTTATGTAGTGGTGATCAGTCTATAAAGATCCAATTAAGTCTGAAGTGCTTTCCATTTAATATACATTTAGCATAACAAAGATGAATGTAAATGTTAATAAGTAAAATAATTGCTACGGTAAATTTGATATGAACAAGAAATGATAAACATTAAGTAGACATGGATTATAGTACTAGTGGATTTTGTGAGCTTGTTTTATCCACAAAATCCAATGCTAGGGAACCACAAAATTTTACGCCCACAAAAAAACATAATTTTACAGTATCAACTTTGATAATTACTTAGATGGAGATTGATTTATGGTGATCACTATGAGTGTTCTGGTTATAGTGATGAATGTGTTCTGTTGCTGATGAAGGGAGACAACTGTATCATAGTGAACACAATATGGGATCTATTCTTATATATGTGCTTTTTTTATTTTGTCAGAAACATAAGACTTACAATCAGATATCTTCACCCAAGAAGAAGATTTACTTTAGGACGTTTATGAAGCTTTGGAACAAAAGAAAACTGCCTCAGGTTTGTTCTTTGTTTGACAAGTAAGGATAATGTTATTCATAGTTCAACAGTTATACTGCTATATATTAATGCAAGGATGTTTCTTTGTTTTCATGTCTGTTCTGATTTTTGAATTAGACTTGAACACTTTTTTGAAATTTGATTGTATAAAAACACATGGCCATGCAAATTTATATGCTGTAATACGTCTAACTGAACCAAACTGCCTGACAGAAATATTACAGGGGATCAGAAGAGATTCAGAGCCCACACCTATCACAGAACAACGTCAACTTTAATGTGTTTGATGAGCCAGATGAATTTTCACACCTTACCGCCATCAAACGACCCAAGTCAAAGCGACTCTCTGTGGAAAATGGTGGATTTCTTGATTCACCTTTCTCGACTTTTGGGAAGACACCTCCTAAACTGCAGCATCAAGACAGTTTTGACAAGGAAAACTGTACACCCTTGGTATGTAAATTACAATGTAGTGTTAAATTATCTACATACATATAACTATGCTGAAGCTGTAACTGTGCAATATTGGTGATCAAACTTAGCATTCTTACCCCATTTAGAATTATAATCCAGACTTAAGATGATGTTTGAGGCTCCTTTATTCAGACTCTACTTTGTGTTTGCAGCATCTGTTGACAGGTGTTTGTGACCTGTTGATGGGTTATTTAGTCAGTATAAACATGGGATGTGTCTGGATATTTAAATGTTGGTAACTGTTGACAGGTGTTGGTGACCTGATGACAGGTGTTGGTGACCTGTTGACAGGTGTTGGTAACTGTTGACAGGTGTTAGTGACCTGTTGATGGGTTGTTTAGTCAGTATAAACATGGGATGTGTCTGGATATTTAATTGTTGGTAACTGTTGACAGGTGTTAGTGACCTGTTGACAGGTGTTGGTGACCTGTTGACAGGTGTTAGTGACCTGTTGACAGGTGTTGGTAACTGTTGATGGGTTATTTAGTCAGTATAAACATGGAATGTTTCTGGATATTTAATTGTTGGTAACTGTTGACAGGTGTTAGTGACCTGTTGATGGGTTGTTTAGTCAGTATAAACATGGGATGTGTCTGGATATTTAATTGTTGGTAACTGTTGTCAGGTGTTGGTGACCTGTTGACAGGTGTTGATAACTGTTGATGGGTTATTTAGTCAGTATAAACATGGGATGTGTCTGGATATTTAATTGTTGGTAACTGTTGACAGGTGTTGGTGACCTGTTGACAGGTGTTGGTAATTGTTTACAGGTGTTGATATCTGTTGACAGGTGTTGGTAACTGTTGACAGGTGTTGGTGACCTGTTGACAGGTGTTTGTGACCTGTTGATGGGTTGTTTAGTCAGTATAAACATGGGATGTGTCTGGATATTTAATTGTTGGTAACTGTTGTCAGGTGTTGGTGACCTGTTGACAGGTGTTGGTAACTGTTGACAGGTGTTGGTGACCTGTTGACAGGTGTTGGTAATTGTTTACAGGTGTTGATACAGGTGTTGATAATTGTTGACAGGTGTTGGTGACCTGTTGACAGGTGTTGATAACTGTTGATGGGTTATTTAGTCAGTATAAACATGGGATGTGTCTGGATATTTAATTGTTGGTAACTGTTGACGGGTGTTGGTGACCTGTTGACGGGTGTTGGTAATTGTTTACAGGTGTTGATAATTGTTGACAGGTGTTGGTGACCTGTTGACAGGTGTTGGTAATTGTTTACAGGTGTTGATATCTGTTGACAGGTGTTGATAACTGTTGACAGGTGTTGGTGACCTATTGACAGGTGTTTGTGACCTGTTGATGGGTTGTTTAGTCAGTATAAACATGGGATGTGTCTGGATATTTAATTATTGATGACTGTTTTTATCTTCTAACTTAGAAGTGTAGCTGTTGGCTGTAGGCTTACTTCTAGCAAGCTGTACATTATTGAAATATTGAAATATTGTGAAATGATATCTAGTCCTAGCCCGTTTCTTCATTTGAATACATTGAGAGCATATTTTAATGCTTTAACATAAATCAGTTGCAGATGTGAATAGTTGTCATTTTTCTGTCCATATATGGGTCTGTCCATCCCTTCAGTCCATCACAGTAGAGAAGTTGGTCAGTTAGGTACTCACTGATAGTGATTGGATGTTAATAGTTTATATAAATCTTTATTTGATGTCAAACATCAATACTGTGCAGTCAGAATATAAAATGATTTTGTCCTCAATTTTGTCCACTTTTTATTTTTGTTTCAATTGACATGTAATAAACTTTTGCTAAATTTTCCTTCAAACATGAGGAATACATTATTACAATCATGTTTCTAGTTTAAATATCTGCAGGTTAAGAAAATAAGTTATCTTGAAGAGAAACAAATGTGGACCAAAGAAATGAAAAGTCGAACACTCTGAATGTAACTTGGAGAAGCCATTTACTGTAAAATGTCTAAACTTTTAAAAATGAACATGTATATTACACTGTATGGTTTCTAAGATAAATCTTTTTAAAATTGCAGAGACCTATCCATACATTTGCATCACCTCAAGTTAAAACCAACAAGAACAGCCACGTGTCACCTATTCTGGTATGTTTCTGTAAAAAATATTTCTACCTCATATGTTAAAATGATGGATGACTTTCAGTGGTGGAAGATAGAGAAAGAGTGGTTGAGAGGGTATCAGACATAAATGGACTCAGATGGAGTAAACAACAGATAAAGAATGGTTGAGAGGGTATCAGACATAAATTGACTCAGATGGAGTGACAGACAGATAAAGAGTGGTTGAGAGGGTATCAGACATAAATTGACTCAGATGGAGTGACAGACAGATAAAGAGTACATGTACTGGTTGAGAGGGTATCAGACATAAATGGACTCAGATGGAGTAAACAACAGATAAAGAATGGTTGAGAGGGTATCAGACATAAATTGACTCAGATGGAGTGACAGACAGATAAAGAGTGGTTGAGAGGGTATCAGACATTAATTGACTCAGATGGAGTGACAGACAGATAAAGAGTACATGTACTGGTTGAGAGGGTATCAAACATATATTGACTCAGATGGAGTAAACAACAGATAAAGAATGGTTGAGAGGGTATCAGACATAAATTGACTCAAATGGAGTGACAGACAGATAAAGAGTGGTTGAGAGGGCATCAGACATAAATTGACTCAGATGGAGTGAACACTGTCACTGATAAAAAAGATGAAATTATGTAAGCTATATTGAAGTGATATACTGAAGTACTCTGTATCACCTCAAATACGTTATTTATATTGTTTTGCAGGAATTGAGTGAATACCAAATCCCCCTCAATTCTGTCCGTGTTCCCTCACTCAGCAGCAGCGAGGATGTTAGTTGTGTGACTGGAGGCAGGTACGAAATATCACAACCCCTGATACTACTCCACATACACAACTTAATAAACAAACAAATTACTTCCCATCAAGAGATCAATTCACATATCTGACACACCAACTCATTCACTCTGTCATCTAAAACATACACCTACATCTAAGCTGTATCTATATTTCTATTGTTTCGTTTTCATGAGACAAAAACCTTAATAAACTTATACTGGTCTTCACTTGATACAATGTAGCTGTCAATTAATGGTATGTTTATTTAACATTACAGTCTGATCCGACCATACTCTGTGACACCGTTACCATGGGTTACGGACAGCGACACATCTTCTGTAAAATCAGAGATTACTGATGACGAAGATCACTCCAAAATGACAGCTCCAGTTACTTCTGTAGTATATGCTCTGCCACGAAAAACTCAGACCAAGAAAAGTGTTGTACAAGTGAAGAAGTCCTCGCGGCCTCCTCCAGTTCCTCCGAAGCCTCGTTCTGGATTAGTAAATTACTGCTCCTCTGTTGATTCCAACTCTGGTTATAGTGTTATTTACCCAAGGTCAGCTCCAGACTCCCTTAGTATTGACTCTGACCAATCTGGAGAGTCTGACGTAAGACCAGGGTCTTTGGTAGATTTCCATAGCAACAGGTCATCAATATCTGATCCTGGTCAAAGAAATGTTTACCCAACCATGGACTCCATCAGTCTGAACTCTTTTGAATCAGATCCTGGCTTACATGCTAACCTATCTCGTCCAGATGACAGCAGTACCAAGTCCTGTTGTGTTATAGAGAGTGATGAAGACCTACCATTACCTCCACCTCCAGAGTTACCATCAGTTCTCCTGGACTACACACAGTCAGACCTACCTCCTCCCCCAGACTCCCCTCACACCAACAGCTGCCCAGAATTTCCAAGTGTCCCTTTTGAACTGATGGATCCACAGCATCAAGTCACTAATGTGTCGATGGATGTCAACATAAAGAATAATTTTGAAAGGACAAAATGCAAGACTGAAAATCACACGGGCAGTTCTTCAGTCAACCCTCCCCAAATAGGAGGCATCCAGCTCTCCTCACTGGCCAGTCCACAAAAAGGCAGTCTGGGATGGTGTCGTGCTGTGACAGCTAAACCCTACTCAGCTCCATCACGTACTGTGTCCAAAGTCTTGCTCCAAGGCACAGAAAGTACCAGCATACCATTACAGGGTCAAAGGTCACAGGTGGGCCAAAAAAGGGAGCTTGGTATGCCATATAAGATCTCAACAAACAAGTATCTAATGAACTATGGAGAAGTGGAACAAGCTGTAAGTCACATTACTAGACAGGAAAACACAACTGTTGAAAATATTGCTGATAGACAGGACAGCCAATGTACCACAAATACAGGGAATGATGATGGAGTTGTGTCCCCAGGTTACATGGAAATGGACAGAATCAAAAACACAACTGTAGAAAAGATTGCTAATGGACCGGACAACCGTGGTACCACAAATACAGGAAATGGTGATGGAGTTGTGTCCCCAGGTTACATGGAAATGGACAGAATCAAAAACACAACTGTTGAAAAGATTGCTGATAGACAGGACAGCCAATGTACTACAAATACAGGGAATGAGGATGGAGTTGTGTCCCCTGGTTACATAGAACTAGACAGTATTCGGACCGTGTGTCCTGATGGTGTTGCTGCCTCTAACCCACTGATGTGTACTGAGGAAGTGTCTCTGCCTTCTATCCCAGGGCAGAGCACAGAAACGGTGTCCAGTGTGTCTGATAACAGAAGTATGGAAATGAGGGGTCAAGAGGTCAAGGACTCTCCTGGCTTTACTGGCAATATACATAGAGAAGCTGATATAGAGGTCAGCCCTAATGTAACAACCAGACGGGGCAGACGACGCAAGACACTGAAGCAGGGCAGCGACTTTACAATGGACAGCTGTCCTACACTGGAGGAACTCAACTTGTCAAGAGATAAAGCGACAGGTGATATGCCCCAGACAGAGGGACCCCTCACATCCACAAAGTTGTCTCAAGTAGAGGGACTTTTCACACCCATGGAAAAGCAAAGAAAGATTGATATGGTTACTGACGTGAACAATAGACACCATTCTGAAAAGTCATATTCTACATCAGAAACATATTCCGTTGATGTGCAGAAGTGTAGGAGTGCTTTGCTTCAACAGAAACATCACCTGGTAACTCGAGAAAATCCACTTAATGATATGAGAAAAGATGGAGAGTATTGTAAGCTGAACATCCTGAAGGATTTACCAAATACTGCGTCAAAATCAGCATTATCATCTATTGGTGCAAAACAATGCTGTACAGAACAGCAGTTACATGGAATAGTGAATAGTCAGGGATCACTAAGCACAAACATGCAATCACCAAGGTCACTTAGCACAGACCAGCAAACATCAGGGTTAATTAACACAGACCAACAAACATCAGTGTTAATTAGCACAGACCAACAAACATCAGGGTTAATTAACACAGACCAGCAAACATCAGGGTTAATTAGCACAGACCAGCAAACATCAAGGTTAATTAACACAGACCAGCAAACATCAGGGTTAATTAACACAGACCAGCAAACATCAGGGTTAATTAGCACAGACCAGCAAACATCAAGGTTAATTAACACAGACCAGCAAACATCAGGGTTAATTAGCACAGACCAGCAAACATCAGGGTTAATTAACACAGATCAGCAAACATCAGGGTTAATTAACACAGATCAGCAAACATCAGGGTTAATTAACACAGATCAGCAAACATCAGGGTTGATTAGCACAGACCAGCAAACATCAAGGTTAATTAACACAGATCTGCAAACATCAGGGTTAATTAACACAGACCAGCAAACATCAGGGTTAATTAACACAGATCAGCAAACATCAGGGTTAATTAGCACAGATCAGCAAACATCAGGGTTAATTAACACAGACCAGCAAACATCAGGGTTAATTAACACAGACCAGCAAACATCAGGATCTATTAGCACAGACAAGCAAATATCAAGGTCACTCAACACAGACCAGCAGGCACCAAGGTCACTTAGCACAAACCAAAAGAGTTCTCCGAGAGTGAATCAAGCTAGGTTTTACCCTTCAAGCAACAGTAATGCAGGCAAAAGTGTAATTTCAGGTGAAACAGGTACTTCAGTTTCTTTGTCAGTCAAGAGTAATGTAAACTCACAACACAATTCAGATCCACCAAGAAAAAGTGGCCATATGAGAAACGCCTCTGTATCAGCACCTAAATGGGTCCCTAGCAATGGGCATTCCTTACATAATCCTGACCTACCAAGTAAAATTAATCAGGTGAAAAATCCAGTAGTATCAGCTCTTGAGCAAAATAAATTATCAAATAACATTAAAAGACAATGTCCACCAGTTCAACAGGATCATCTGAGAAATCCCTTATTGTCAGGTCCTCATTCACCACAGACAATGACACCCTGCTCTCTCCCACTGCTCACCCAGAGTCCACGAAAGTTACAGAACTTCCGAGATCGCATATCATCAAAAGTTTCTGGAAAGAATAATTATAAAACTCAAGACAGTCAGAGTCAACCCATTTCCCCCCAGGTACCTGGTGCTCCAAACCAGCTGAGTAAACCAAACTCTGAGACTTTTTGTCAGAGGAATGCTATGGACGATGGGACAAAAGTGCTGGAGACTGATATTGATAGTGTGTTTATATCTAGCCACAGCTTGCCTGACAAACAGGTTCCTAGGAAATCCAAACAACAGATCTCACCTGACAAACACACACAGGGGAAACCTAACTTCCACGGATTACCTGACAGACAGACACTCGGGAAATCTGAACTCCAGGGATCACCTAACAAACATGTAGAAGGGAAACTAAAGAGAGCTGAGTCTTCAGAGACCATCATTTGGTAATAAACAGTTGATATGATAATGATAAGGAGCTGCTGGTGTATTTATAAAAGTTATAAATGTAAAGTAATCTGAATACTTACAAGGCATGCTTATATATGTCTTAGTGTGTATTTCTAGAATACTCCTTAAGGGTGTATATATATATCTTATTGTGTATATCTAGAATACTCCTTAAGGGTGTATATATATATCTATATCTTATTGTGTATATCTAGAATACTCCTTAAGGGTGTATATATATATATATGTCTATATATATATATAGTGTGTATTTCTAGAATACTCCTTAAGGGTGTATATATATATCTTAGTGTGTATTTCTGGAATACTCCGTAAGGGTGCATATATATCTTAGTGTGTATTTCTAGAATACTTCTTAAGGGTGTATATATATATAAGGGTGTATATATATATCTTAGTGTGTATTTCTGAATACTCCTCAAGGGTGTATATATATAAGTGTGTGTCAAGGGTGTATATATATATCTTAGTGTGTATATCTAGAATACTTCCTAAATAAGGGTGTATATATATATATCTTAGTGTGTATAGTGTGTATTCTCTGGAATACTCCGTAAGGGTGTATATATATATCTTAGTGTGTACTTCTCAAGGGTGTATATATATATCTTAGTGTGTATTTCTCAAGGGTGTATATATATATCTCCTCTCAAGGGTGTATATATATATATCTTAGTGTGTATTTCTGGAATACTTCTCAAGGGTGTATATATATATATCTTAGTGTGTATTTCTGGAATACTTCTCAAGGGTGTATATATATATCTTAGTGTGTATTTCTAGAATACTTCTCAAGGGTGTATATATCTTAGTGTGTATTTCTGGAATACTTCTCAAGGGTGTATATATATATCTTAGTGTGTATTTCTGGAATACTTCTCAAGGGTGTATATATATATCTTAGTGTGTATTTCTGAAATACTCCTTAAGGGTGTCTAAATATCAAGTGCTGGATTATCAAGCCTTTTGTAGTTTGTTATCTTTGACTTCCATGATCCTGATATGATAATCATTCCTTCATTTATTTGTTTTTTTTTTTTAACTATTATCCCTCATCAAGAGGTAGGATGTGGTTATTATGTACTTTTGACTGATATCACAAATTGGTTCAGCGTTTTGTTAAACAGGGGATGTAACTATTGTTTTGTCATATTTATACCCTTTGTATATTGTTGATATATATATAAGATATATACATTGTACCTATAGTAATTGTTGTCACATCATTTAGAAGGAGTAGAAACAGACAGTGGTATTCTGTAGACGTCTGCATCAATGCTTATGCCAGTTGTGTTCAAGTTTCTCAGAAAATACAAGTACCAAATATAATGCTCATGAGATGATGTATTATTTAATCAGGTCAAATAATAAAGGCTTGAAATATTCAAATCTGTTTGATCAGCTGAAAACATATAATATTATGTATAACTGGAAATTTAGCAAGAACATCATGAATTTTCAGATTTACTTAAAATTTTGATGTTACATTTTTTGAAAATCATCTGATATTTGAAAATTATAGATTTTATTGCTTATGGTTCTAATTCATCTCCTTCTCCAATTTTATTTTTCTTAATTTTTTTCTTTTTTTTTTTATCAATTTTTATTTTCCTAAGTTGCTACCTAGATTTCAACACTTCAGGTCATTAGTGTCACTGACCAGTCCTGAACAGTCTTGACCAGTCCTAGAAGGACGAAACAACTGTAGAATGCAGTTTAATTCATTATTTGGCTATCTAACGCTTCTTTGTATTTGAAAGTGCTATTCTGTCATATGTGTTTTGTACAGTCCTTTAACATATATATACTCCTACACAGGTACAGGTTTTTCTGAGTTAAAGTTTATATATATTTGATATTTGGAGAGTGAAGGAAAAGACGAAATTCTTGTATAATGTTATTTTAACTACTCTATATTACAACATTGCCATTTTGGTTTGTAAATTCTTGAAATATATATTACTTTTATTTAAATCATCAATTATGTACATAGCCAAAAACTGATATAGTTAAGTATACCTTATTAAAGCTTATATTTATCACATTTTTTTACAGTGATTTGTAAACCCACTGTGAAGTGATGTAATTCATACACAGTATATCGGGAAATTTTGCCCTCGTTTAATTTTTGCCATTTTCGTCCATGAGCAAGGAAGCTCATTTAAGATGAGGTAAAAAATTTGTTACACTAATGTAATTTTTCATATAATCCTCCGAGGGTGAAATGAACATGAGGTGAATTGATATGTCATACTACAAGGGCTAAAATAACGTGGCTGAAAAATTTCATGGTATAAAGGATATAGAAGACAGTTTACAGGATCTTAAATGAGTTTTCATGTCATATGAGATTTTATAATACCAGTCGTGGAAGTTTCTGTTTTTGTAAACCTTGGCATAGGACAATGTATTATTGTCATCATTTGGTACTTTATATACATGTCATGTGACATCTTTTCACCATATAACACTTTGTATACCAGTACATGTCATGTGACATCTTTTCACCATATGACACTTTGTATACCAGTACATGTCATGTGACATCTTTTCACCATATGACACTTTGTATACCAGTACATGTCATGTGACATCTTCTCACCATATGACACTTTGTATACCAGTACATGTCATGTGACATCTTTTCATCATATAACACTTTGTATACCAGTACATGTCATGTGACATCTTTTCACCATATGACACTTTGTATACCAGTACATGTCATGTGACATCTTTTCACCATATAACACTTTGTATACCAGTACATGTCATGTGACATCTTTTCACCATATAACACTTTGTATACCAGTACATGTCATGTGACATATCATTAACATTTGATACTTTACATATGTCATGTGACATATTGTCATTATTTTGTACTTCATAAACAAGTCATGTGACATATTGTCATTTGGTACTTACATGTCATGTGACATATTGTTGTCATTTGGTACTTACATGTCATGTGACATATTGTTGTCATTTGGTACTTATATGTCATGTGACATATTGTTGTCATTTGGTACTTATGTCATGTGACATATTGTTGTCATTTGGTACTTACATGTCATGTGACATATTGTCATTATTTTTTACTTCATAAACAAGTCGTGTGACATATTGTTGTCATTTGGTACTTATAAGTCATGTGACATATTGTTGTCATTTGGTACTTATAAGTCATGTGACATATTGTCATTAGTTGGTAGTTTATTTATACATGGTCATCTTATATCAGACAAAAGAAATAATTCTCAGGAACTTTTAAATTAGATACTCAGATACTTTAAGGACTAAGTGTATTTTTTAGGTAACCTGAGACAAAGTCTCATGGTGACTTGTTGCAATCATCTTTGTCTATCATCATGCTTCCATCTTTTAACATTTTTGGCTTCTCCTTGGAACTAATTTTTAAAAAATTTGCAGAAACCTTCCCTGACCAAAGGATGAAGTAAAATAATGAATTACACGGTCTCCACCCCTCAGAGGCCTGAGGGGCAGGCCAAAAGAGTCAGATTGACTCAAATTTTAAAACATTTTGAACACCTAGATATGGTAGAATCTGATGCTCTTCATGGATGGAAGAATCTTGAGGTGCTTTACAAAGATTTTGAATTTCATGCCCCCAGGGTCTCACATTTATCCGTAGGGAGGTGGTAAATTTAACTATAGTTGATATTGAAAAAAATAGATTTTTGAGCATAATTTGGTTCAGTTCCATTGGAAATATTTCAAACTTGGTTAGAACTATGAGCAAAGCTTGATGGCATGCCCATATTGATCCTTCCTGAGCCCCAGGGACTGATGGGTGGGGCCAAAAGGGGTCAAATTGACTTGGATTTCAAGAATTTTCTTCTCAGAAGCCAGATATGGTAGAATCAAATGCTCTTCATGGATAGAAGTATCTTAGGATGCTTTTTCTAAATTGGAAATTTCATGGCCCCAGATACAGATACATTTCTCCGTAGGGAGGGGGTCAAGTTTACTTTAGTTTCATTCCCATTTGAAATACTTGGTTAGAGTTATGAACGAAGGATGACAGTTAAATGATATGCCCATTTTGATCTTGGCTGACCCCCAGGGGCTGATGAGCAGGGTCAAAATGGGTCAAATCGACTCTTATTTCAAATATCTGCTTCTTAACACCCATATATGTTTGAATTAATTGCTCTTCAAGGATGGAAGCATTTTAAGGTGCTTTACCAAAACGGGTCTCGCACTTCTCTCTTGGGATGAGGTTAACTTTACTATAAATTTTATAGGAACTTTCATGAAAATGCCTTGTTCTGGTGAATAGTGCTTATCATGTTTTTGTAAGAATTTTTTTTTAAGTGTGTTATTTGGGCATATTTACTGAAGAATTTATACAGCAAGTGACTTAAGTAATGAGTAAGTTTGTACAACACTAATCAGGACATATCTGGAGGTTTGGAATACTCGTATGGAATTGTGTTGTTTTTTAAGAATTGGCAATATAAATTACTACATTATCCTTCAATAAAAACATGTAAATATCAAAGAGATTGTAGCTCCTGATTCCAGATTTGATTTCTAATTCTTTGTGTTCTGTCAAATTGGATTCTTCTCAGCACTTTCTTTCCTTCTTTTCTATATTAAAATTGTTACTGAATTTGTGTGGGTTTTTTTTTTTAATGTGGAATGAGGGAAATTAAATCTTTATGGAGATCCTGTTTCTTCTATCTCAAACCCCATAGAGGCATGGCAGGCAGATGAACATCAACTTTTAATTTCAACATCTCCTTAAAAACTTGTAGGCTGATTTTAATAATATTTAACATCGTGCATTATTTTGCCAAGCATCATGGGACAAAGAAGGTCAATATTGTGAAATCTATGGGTCTGGCTGCCCCAAAGGAACCAGTTTAGAGCCTCAAATGGGTCAAAACATTCTAAGTTTCTTCTCAACGACTAGAAATATCAATACTGATAACTGACAACTTGATAAGTACTAA